GACAGCGGCCACCGACTGACACACGGGCACCACGGAGAAATCCCCAAAACAACAGGGGTCGATGACATGTACGATTAAGCCACTTTACAGTGTATTCTGGATGGGAAATCGCATTTTGTATGCTGTGGTGATGTTCGGTGAATGCATGTAGAATAAATAAATTTAAATAAATAAATAAATAAAGTCACGGGGCATGATGATTTAGGCTCTGGACACTGCCACATGATCGGCCATGGTTCAAGTCCCAGAACTAGTGGCTCACTTTCTCTCTCTGGTCAAACTGAAATAAATGAATGAATAAATAAATAAAATCACCAGAAAAAAAAAAAAGAAACGAAACAAACAACAACAGAAAACGAGTGGGGAGGCCAGGCTGAAGCGGCTGCCTGCTGCGGGGGGTCGCTGTGGAGGTCTGCAGCGGGCAGCAGCGAGCGCTGGCAGAAGAGGTCAGAATGCTGGGTGCCACACTGAGCTTCCCAGCAGAGTCCTGCACCCACGCTGACAGGGCCTTGGATGGCAGCGATTTACGCATCTGCTGGACGCTGGCAGAGCCACACAGTCGGGCTTTGGTACCTGTGCGTGCTGTGGTCGTGGATTCGACCAAACACAGATGCAGCCAGGCCAGGCCAACGGTTACAGAGAGGGAGAGAGGGGGCTCTCTAAAGGAGAGATGCTGAAGACGTGTATCCGTGTATCTTCATTTTCACTCACACTCGATGCTAAGATGCAGAATAACCTAGCGATGACCTACTGTATACAGGGGAGGGTGTGGGTTATGTGAAAACCCCACCTCACACAAAGAACCTGAGCACCGGCAGCTTTTGTGTTTGCAGGGGGTCCTAGAACCCACAGACACCGATAGGTAACTGTACTTAAGATCTGTGCGATTCACTGTGTGTAAATTAAACTCAGGGCCAGAGCCACAGGGCAGCGGTAAAACGCTGTTCTTGATTCCACACGGTGACCGTGGTTCAAATCCCTGGCCTGGACAGTCTCAAACACATCTGGCATACACAGAGTTTCCAGGATCCGATGAGCTGGAGGACTTGGGGACAGAGAACCAAGGTGTCACCAGGGCCTGTGGAGGGTGCTTCTCTTCTCTCTCGTGTGTTTTAAGCATCAGTGAAGAATAGCAAAAAAAAAAAAAAAGAAGAAGCAAGAGCAGTAGCAGATACTGAACTGTTGGCAATGGTATCCAGGCTAAAATATTTCAGGATTCTATGATATTTGAATGTGTCCTCCAAAACTTCACGTGTGAAAATCTGGCTGTGGGTTAAGAGGATGGGAACTCCATCCAACTATGGTATTAAAGGTGGGGTCTTTGGGAGTGATTGGGACTAACGCGATCAGGGTGGGGCCCCACGACTGAATCCTGCGGGTTTATAAGGAGACGGGTGAGACTGACACCAGGGCACACGGACGTGCTTGTTCCTGCCCTCGCTGCGTGATGGCCCTGCACCGTCTCCGGACCCTGCAGAGAAACCTCAGCAGATGAAGCCCTGTGACCGTGGCCCCCCCACACTGTGAACTAAATAACCCTGTGCCCCTCATAGATCACCCAGTGTGGTCATCAGCTGTCAGTGGCAGGAAAGCAAGCTGCATCACAGGGTAAGCGTGTAAATATCTGCAGTTTACTGTAAATTAAATGAAAAGACGGATCAATGGATGAGGCAGGAAATAAAAGCAGTGCTAAAATGCACATGAAGGGGGGGGCTTCTCAGCTTGCCCATGTCCACTGTAAAATTCCTTCCACTGTTCCACATGTTTCAATGTTAGCCATAAAAGAATATTTAAAAATACAAAGACAGTGATCCTTGATAGAAAAGTCAGCTTAGATCTTAATTCTAACCAAATTCACCTAAAAATCCATCATAATTCCAATCAGAATATCATCGGGAATTTTCAAGGAAATCAGTGTTCTTTAAGAAGGTACAACAGGAAAAACACATGAATTACTAATCAATAACCAAAAAAACTTCAAATTTCTATGTGACCAAGAAATAAGACATAAGTAATTGTTTAAAAACCATCAAAAAATAGATAATGTGGGCCAGGAGATGGCACTGACTTTAGGGCAGCTGGACCCCACATAGCTGACAGCGCAGTTTGAAACCTGGACCCAGAAGCGTGTGTGTGTGTGTGTGTGTGTGTGTGCGCGCGCGCG